AAAAAAAAAAAAAAAAAAAGAATGTCACTCCAAAAAGATTCCCATGCCAGTTGTGAGATTGTTTGCTGATTTAGAGATTGTGATGTAGAAAGTCTCAAGTTCAGCATCCAGGCTAATAGTTCTCAGGGGAAACACGTATGAAAGCAAACTTTCTGTAATGCAGAAAAGAATACTCATACTGAATCTTTTAAATGCATTTTTAAAATTGTTTAATCTCCCATAATATAATGGAAAATAGCCCAAATTATCTTATGGCAATTCTTCATGTGTACTTACAATTAGAAAAATGAGAACATTGTAAGAAGCAGATTTCTTGCTTCATTGTTTTAAGCAAATACTAAAAATAGACTCATTCAAGTCATACCACAAATTTAAATGCATTATCATTTTTTTGAAAAGTAAATAAATGAGATAAATATATTTTGCTTTAACTAGTTATTTTTAAATGAAGATATATTAACTTTGAATTTTTGAGGATAAGGGCCATGCTATATCTGTCTCCTACACAGATGTGTTTAATAAATGTTTGTGGAGTGAATTATTGAACTGCTTTATAATCTAGCTCAAACATCAAACTAAAAATTCACAGGAATCTTCTTAGAGATTGAGGAAGAGGATATTATGGTTTAAAAATATTACTTTTATAAAAGAAATACTTTAATATTACTAGTTTGCTTGGTCCATGTAAAATATTATTTACATTATAAATATTTATGTGTAATTGCTCATAGACAATATTTTCACAAATATTGTTTTATAAGTATCAATGGAAAGCAAATTATGTGTAAGACACTCTTCTAGGCAGAGCATGAATAGTTTTTAAGATGAGTAACATTTTGAAACTTCTTTTGAGTTGCAAACAATCTGGATAACTGGTTAAACAGAAATATTCTAGGTGAGATCAGGTGAAGAACATTACCAGAAATTCAGTGATGTGGAAGTAAAAATACCTACTCTATGGAGTAAAACCTGAATCCCCTAAATTGCATTTTAGACTTATTTTATGTTGGGTTTTTTTATACCAGGTTAAGAATGTCTTTAACGTAAGAAATATTTGACATAGAGAGGGTGGGAAATTTCAAAAGGATGTTTGACTTCTCTGCATGGGTCATCACATCTCATGTGTCTGAGAAGTGTATATTTCCACAGCATGTTTTCAGCAATTTAATCAGAATATACTGATCTAAAGGGTTGAGCAGGTAGAATTCAGTCTGCAACTGAGACAGATGACTTGCCACATACAATGGTCCCCAAGGGAGTGATGTGAGATGATGGGACTCTCAGTGTTTCACTACTTGCATATATCTTCCAAGCACGTCTTTCAAAAGCCTTGAAGAAAAGCACGTGACAAGTAAAACACCGTTCTGATGAACCCATATTGCCAAAAACCTCTATCTTGACAACAACCCAGTGCAGTTATTGAGCAAGTAGTCCATCCTCCTAGGTTGGTTGTTCCATAGAACCTCCAAGAAAAGAAATGCCCAAGAAGACCCCTTTTGTTTTCTTCTTTCTGAAAATGTGGCCAAAATTACCAAATAGTTTTCACCTTTCATGGTATCTGAAATGCGCCAATAACTCCTTTTTACTTCTCGTGAGAAACCATCTTGTGGAATGCAGTTTTCCTTCCTAGTATGATGTGTATTTTTAGGTATTTATGTTTGACCATTTTTAAAACATATTTTTTAAACAGAGCAGGCATCTGTGATTTAAATTAGAATCGAGTCTGGGCCAGAGACAACAAAAAGCTGTTGGATTCTATTTTCTAGCAGGAAATAAATAGAAGGATAAATGTAATAATGTGAAAGAATAAGTATGCTTGTCTTCCAGACTTTCTAATAGTTAATTGATTAAATAAAATGTATTATTTACAGAAATAGAAGGGCACCACTCAACATTGTTCGGTCACTGCCAAGTAAGCTATGCAAGTGCAGTGACCTCCTCATCAAGCCACAGAATCACATTTTTTAATTCTCCAAGGAGTTTGAGATATTAAAGATAAACACCATGTAGACAAAAAAAGAATTTGCCTTTTATCTTGAATAATAATTAGAATAATTAGAAATTTGATAATTAACCAAGGAAATTTAACCCTTTTCTACTTACCTAACACTCCCAGAAAAGGATATTATTTTCTTTAATTGATTTTATACCTTAAAGGACACTTACTGAATTGTAGATATATAACTAGTATCCATAGACAGAAATGAAGATCATTTTTAGAAGAAACCAGTCTCAAATGAAAACACAGCATTTAACATGGTCGCATTCATATCATAGACTCTTGACTCAAGGTGAGAAATCAATCACTCCTTATTTCTTATTTATTCCCTGGCACAACCAGACCACACTACAGGTTTCTTTCACCATGTGAATAAAATCGTGTGAGACCCCTCAGAGCTACTGAGTGCATGCGACCCAAGACAACGAACAGCATAATAACCATTGTCAACAGGCAAACTCCAACAACATGTGGATTTGGATTTGGTTTTATGTTAAGTGAAGTAGATTTCCTCTGATTTTAATAATTCATAAAAAACAGAAATCACAATGTATTGACTCAGTATCCGCCGACAAAGCGTCTAAAGAAGCCAAAGTTCTCCCCCGATTCATCCTCTTGTTCCACAGAATTTTGAAAATAAAAGAAAACAATAAAAATGAAAGAGTGTGAGAAAGGACACAAAAATTACTTGAATGATTTCAAGCTCTTATTGAACATCACTAAGATTTCATTTTATCCATCAGGCTGACTGACCTTAGTTCTCACCACTAAGGCCTTGCAAAGAAACAGAACAAACATGGTTTCACTTTCCAAGGTGGGTCTAGAATTGTAAGGGAGCAAGTGAATGTGTGTGCGCATGTGTGTGTGCTTTAAGTCCATTTTATGAACACTGACACAGGACAATTCTCTTCATTGGTAATAATCTTTGGAGTCCAATCATGCAGAATAACAGGCAGGTGTAAGTTAGTTCTCATTGCAAGATGGACATGGCACATGGCAAGGTGAGCAGATAATCCTAGATACAGGGTGGGAGATTTGTTTCCATTAGAATATACTGGCCATCGGTCCCACATAATCAAAAGTTACATATACAGGAGTCTATATATATGAACAGAGGCCCCTCATTTGAGTTTGACTGACTAAAGTAACAGGTCAAAGTGAACCATTTTCAGATAGTTAAATAACTAAATGTCAAAGGAAAAACAAAATCTTACAGTTTAATCACCAGGAAAAGAACTAACATATCTATTTACATTGTAACTTTTTTTTGTTGATTTTACAGAAAGTAGTTTCCCTGCTTAATTTAATGGCATCTGTGGAAAATGATAAACTCTTACAACTAAAATGTGTGTTGGAAATTGTGAGTGGAAAATGGGATTTCTCTTTACACCCAAAGTGGCTGGGTGTAAATTTACTAGAGTGATGTTACTCGTCTCTGAGCTATGGAAGGTATATTTTTCAGCAAAGCTGACTGACAACATGCTTTACAGAGCATAATGCTTTTAAGATGGATTTTTATATGTTCAGAGATTTAAATATAAATAGATTTGGTATAATATTGGTTTTGCAATGAATATTTAAAATTCAAAATATCAGTTTTACTTTTTGTTTGTCCCCTGCTCCGACAGGTCATTAAAGGATTTAAATATTCTTGTCTATTCTATATGTTCCATTTGCCAAGGCCAATTTTCTGACTTATCAGTCAGCTGTTATTCATATTTTTAGCTAATATTTTGCTGATAATGATAACAGATTGAGAAAAATTATCCAGCTCCTTGGCCTCAAGTAAGTAGCCTACTCCAATTGGTGGGGATTGACCAGGCCCTTTTCCAACTGTGGGGTACATTCCTACAAAGCTCAGTCATCAGATTCTTGAAGATGAAAGATTAATATCAGTCTTTATTCCACAAGAGGAAACTCTGTCGTAAGGCCAAAGTCTCCCTTTTTAAAAGTGAACACTGACCCACAAAACACATAGAAAAATAGCGAAGACAAAGCTAGAGTGGTGGTGGCTTTGGCAAACTCTCACAACAATTGAATTATCCCTGCACATGGGTACATAGCCGTTCTTTCTGCAAATTACTACAAAAGATTGTATTAAGGGTCACTGCTAGTCCAAATGGCCCACAGGATGTGATGGCAGGTCCTCAGTGTGCAACTTCATGTTCTAAAATTAAAATGAGCACCAACCCTAGGCAGAACCTTCACTTTTTCCAGGAATTTGTCCAGTTGATTGACATTTCCCTACCTGAAAAGTAAGGACATCCTTGAGCAATAATAGGTAACTAAGAAAGAAATATTTGAAGTTTTTTTTTTAAAGAAAAGACTCATTACAGAACATAATATATTCTATGAATTTGATAATGACATAATCATCTATGAATTTGATAATGACATAATAAAGATATTATAATAATGTGAACCCAGGGTGGTGAAGGACTGGCGGGCTTTTACAGAAGCGATTCTCTTTGTTGTTCCATCATCTGTCTTGCATTGATCACCTAGTAAAGCTGATCCTGCAAGAACCAAATCCTTAGCTCTATTTGTAAATGACACTTAAATCCGAGGGATTTGTTCCGTTTTTCTCTTGTCCCTACGGGAGATTTGGCTAAAGGCAACCAGTTTCCAAGAGTCATACAACAGGAGATATAAGACTAGTTGAGTTTCTGGAAGGTGGCAATAGTGGGGGTGGAGGGGAGCATTGTCTAGTTTCTAGTTTTCGTCTGGTTGAATCTGAGTGAAAAAAAATCAACATTTCTGCAGACATGATAGATAGTCTACTGTCAAGCACTTCTAAGAAGCTGGCTAGAGACTTCCTTTTTGTGATGTCATCTTGGGACTGATAAAATTCGCTTTGTGACTCTTTCCTCTTCTCTGCACTTAATCCCATGTGGTAGAAAGCATGGAAGTGGAGAGGCTACAGATATATTGAGAGAAAAGTGCAGAGAAAAAAGATAAGAAAAGAATTAGGGACACAGAGAAGAGAGTTCAAACAAAACAAAACAAAACAAAAACCCCAGTAATATAACAGAAAGAAAAGTGAGGGGGCTTATGCAAATGAGGAGGCATTTTTAAATATCTAGTTGTCCACAGTATTAACCAAAAAAGAATGGTAGCAGGCTAAAGAAACTAGGCCATTTTTATTCCAGGGGACAAGCTGCACAAGCTAAAGTTCTTCTCTTTATTTTAAACAAATGACCTCTTGTACAGAATCCTATTGTGTGAAGCAATCCCAGAAATGGCAGCATTGCTGGCAATGGTGCTGGGTTGCAGTTCCCTGTTGACTCTATTGCTTGAAGAGAGACAGAGCTTCCCTGTTATTGTATTTAAGGCAGTTTTCAGAGCACTGGCATTTTTGTTTGCTCTGTTTTTGAGGGGATTCCATTTGTCAGTCATTTCACACTCACCAACCATCCCTTTCCTGCATTTCACTTCTTCTTCAGGTGAAACATCACCACATTGGTGAGCACCAGAATGGTCAGAGTGCAAATAACTGTGATGAACATGTCACCAAAGTAAGTAAGAAGGGAAGCCTGTACCTGGTACTAATTATTGCTGAGAAGTCATCTTGGAATTGCCTTGTTCATAACCAAGATATTTCACAGTGCCTCCTTAAGTGCTCAGGAAAGCACTTATGTAGAATTTAAGCTAAATTCAAGAGATTTTGCAAAACACTGACATTAATGCTTCATGGCTTTAAAGACAAACTCATATTGCTAAAGCTATTTAGCAGCAGTAACTTATAGGCAGAGTTATTGCTCTTGTACCTACTGCACTACAAAATTCAGATTATCAGCCCTTCTTCGATTGTTCAGACAAGAAAATAAATGAACATAAAACATCAGCCATATTAAGGAGTCAGGGAAACCACTGAGGAATAATAATGTCACTAGAGATATTTCCAGATGCTAACCTGAGGATCATCATGTGTTTTGGGGGTTTTATTTTTATTATTATTTTTAATTCCAAAAGAAGAAAGTAATATTATTTTCTCAAAATAAAATCTTGGCAGGGTATGAACCTGGGAAGCAACTCACACATGAAAATCACAACCTACAATCTAAAAGTAGTTTCAGTAGGCTCATTTTTCTGTTTAAGGAATCCATATGGAAGCAATTCCGCTCAGTTTCAGGGAAAGAGTCTTACCAACAACTATGTACACAATAACCTACCTCACCACCTGCCCCTTTTTCCAGTAGTCTTCTGTTACAATAGATCCTTTGGAAGTGACAAATGGGAATGGGATTAACCTCTAAAACATGCACACCTAGTATCTGGGCAATGACCTCTTTTCTGTCTTAGCTCACACGGCAATACTACTCTCTAGTCTCTTCTACTGCTCACTGTAAAAAAAAAAAGACTCTCAGCTTTTATTCCCAACTGCCTTCTAAAGGCCAAACCATTGAGTGCCTGAAAACTGTTACCCCCTCCCCCCACACTTTATATAAGCAGCACATGTTCTTTCTACAAATTGGTATACAGGTGCCATTTAATCAGTTCAAATTTGGAAGCTACATCTTCAAGGGTCCGAGAGAGCTCACTCCCCCCATAATTCCCCCCTTTACATGTTTTCTTATAAGACATACAGCTTAATCAATTAACAAACTAAACAGCTTATATACTGGCAATATATTACAGATGGGTTTATGTCAGAGTAATAGATCACATGAAATGGACCATGTGGTACCCCAGTGCATGATGTCTTGGTAGAGCCCTGAGGACACTGACAGTAGCATCTCTAAGTAAGTAGTGCTGTATGAATACAGACACATGCGGATCTGTATCTACATCCATCTGACTAGGCCAAGGAGCAGGTAGATGCAAGATAGAGACACACACATGCTGGTTGGGGCCACTGCACACCTTGTCATGCCATTTGAAAGGGCAGTTACAGGTCGCTGGTTTTGCAGCCATTGAAATTACACTTTATGGAAAAGGCTTCTCTAATTGTGTTTGGTTTGCTTTCTGTAGTAAGCATCAGTGGAAGAAGACCAAAGCAAGAGCAACTAGAAGTTAAATATACATTTGAGCTTAGCTGCAATACAGAACTCTGGGGAAGAAGCAGGCTGAAAGATTTGTTTCCATTTTAGGCTTGGATTCTCTCCCTTGCTGTTTTCTTGATGTTGCATGTCTACATCTGTGTGTGTGCGTGAGTGTCTGCATGTGTGTGTGTGTGTGCGTGTCTATGTGTATGTGTTCCATCACATCATCTCCTGAAGAACGCTGGATTTCGCAGGCAGGCGGCTAGTCACCTGCAACAACCCAGGGGTCCTGCCGAGGCTTCCAGGCTGCTGTCAGTGTCAGATGCCAGGGTCTGGTCGGTGGACATGGAGGAGATGTCGTTGACGGACGAAGAGGGAGGGAGACTCTCACTGCTGTTCACTGCTGCACCTGTGCTAAGAAAATGAAGACCAACATGACTAAATCTAGAACGAGACCCATCTCAATGACATTCAGCATGCCAGCATGGTCAAACACAACAGAGGGAGTCTTCTTCATCGTTTGCAAACCTTCTTAGAACAGCTGACCTTCTCTCCTCTATCTAGACATTTGGTTTCTCACTACACAAGACCAAGCTGACCTTATCTTTCATTACTACCCACCAGCCCACCACCTGGAGTCACAAGAAATGGACCATGTGGTTGCCCTGACAACGCCAAGGCCACAAACCAGTGTTACTTAGGAATGCAGCCGCTGGAGTGTTTTTTGTTCTGTTTTGTTTTTGTTTTTCCCCATCTCCTTGTTAAATCTTCCAAAAGTCCTCCTTCCTCAACCCCCAGACCACACTGTCTTTTAGTGCTGCTCCCACTTAGAGTCTGTTCTAAATGTGAATATACTTTGTTTGCTTTAAAAAAAAGAAAGAACAGCTGACACAGGGACTTATATTAGATGGGTAAAATCAAGACAAAACAATGCAGTCCCTCATCAGGAGGTATTCACAGCCTAGTGCAGTGTTTATCAAATTTCACTCTGTATTCAAAAATTACCTGTAATGCTTTTTTAGAAAACACACAAATATCCAGCCACACTTCCCATATCGTTACATAATTGGCCTTGAACGCAGCCAATGTGTTTGCATTTTTCAAAAGCTCCCTAGAGACTGTGTAGTCAGTCAAGGATTGAAAACCACTGGTTTATGAAGAAGACAGACAGATGAACGAAACCCTTTAATGTAGTGATCCAAACTTGGTTGCTTTTACTGCAAGGAGCTTTTAAAACAAACACATCTAAGTGTGCTATCCTAGAAATCTGAATTAATTGGAGACAACAGCTCTAGAAAAAGGAAAGTATGTAAAGTAAATATTATTACATAACCACTAATATGACATCAAACTTAAAAACCATATAAAAAAGCCAAATTACACTTGATGAAGTTATTGAAAAAGAATAGAAGACAGAGCACACAACGTTTGCCTATATTAACTATCCGGCTGACTTGCTTACCTAGGATCTTCTAATAGGATCTCTGAATTATTAACTTAGCTTAATTTGGAAGAAATTCTATGTTCTACAATAAGGAAATATAATGGTTTGGAAACTCTGAGAAGAGACTTGCTCATGGAAATTACTCAGTAAAGGCTTGCTGAGTTTCAACAGTGTTGAGAACAACAGAAGAAAGATGAGCCAAAAGCATCATGAAATATAATTAAACCACGGAGCCCTAGAAACAGTCAACTTACTTTTTCCTTTTTATATATTCTTTATACTCAGGCAATCCGAGTGGTAAAATAAGTGGAATAACAGCTCGTTATTAAAAATATCTGTAGTATAACCACCTGATAAAATAAGAGATGAGGAATTCTCACTAAAATGATATCTTATTTGAGCAAATACAGTGTGAGTGAACCTATTGATGAAAAATAACAAACCCAACATAGGTTACAATAATGTTATACATAGATCTAATAAATCAGAAAGACAAAATTAAACCATATTAAGGGAGTGCAGGGGTTAACATAATCTTTGTTCCTAAGGCAGATATATCTCGCCTGTGGAAAATGTGTGGTGAAAATTTAACAGTATCTAGAGAGGACACAAACGCCTAAACTACAAATTACATGTGTCCTACATGTATTTTTAAATCTTACTTGTTGATTGTAAATATGCTTAAGTAAACTATGCAAAATGTAAAAAAAAAAATACAGGAAAAAAGGTATGCACTGATCCTCAAATTAATGTTAAGAACTGTTAAGCATTTGGTATACTTATTTCCAGTCGTTTTGCTAGGAAGTTTCCCTAGTTGCGATCATTTAATATGAATTATTTTGTATCCTTATATTTTCATATACAGAAAAGCTTAGACATTTTTTGTGCTCTTTAAACCAAAAGAATCCATATTTCTTCATCTTAAATGTCTCTAGAAAAAGATTTTTTAAATCCTGTTGTTTTTGTCTTCTTGTAAATAAATACTCTCACAAGCAGAACAATGTGTAATATAAAGTTATCTGGCTTCAATTCATTCCTAATTTACCTAATTATATCCCTTGTAGATATTGTGCAGAGTCAATTCATTTCTTCTCATGACAAGATTTCATCTTCTGGAAGACAGTCCTTGATTCACTTACACAACCCAAATACCTAACTCTGTTTTCCCCCTGATTTTAGATTAAATTATGCCAGCATCCTTCATGCTCTTTCATTAAGTTCTGGTCTCTATAATTTAGCGTCACTTTGATGGACTTCTCTGAATGCTCTTCCGTTTTTACGCATTCTTATTAAAGGGTATAGATTACAACCAGACATGGGGCTCTAATAATGGTCCAATCAATTTGGGACCAGTAGAGTGAGATTGCTTTTTTCTTAGTGTCCATTCATCTCCTGGATGATATATCCCTATGCCCTGGATGGCTTTCAAATCATGCACTACTGCTTAGATTTAGTTTTGACTTGAGATATGCAATGATGCCCATATATCTTTTTGTAACAGCTTTATTAAGGTAAAATTCAGATATATAATTTAGAAATTTAATTTGTACAGCTCAGTGACTTTTAGCACATTCACAGCATTGTGCAGTCATCGCCATAATCGATTTCGCGGCATTTCATCATCCCTCCCCCAAAAATCTTTGTATTCCATTCCTCACCTTCTCTCTATCCCTAGGCAATGAGTAATCTACTTTTTGCTTCTAAAAAATGATCTATTGTTCTGGACATTTCATATAAATGAAAGTATGCTCTATGCACTCATTTGCGAATGGTCATTTTCTTTTTTCTTCTTCTTCTTCATTTTTCTTTTTTTTTATTTTTTATATTTTTGAGTTGGAGTCTCACTCTGTCGCCCAGACTGGAGTGCAGTGGCCACTCCCGACCACTGCAGCCTCAACCTGCTGGGCTCTGGCGATCCTTCCGCCTCAGCCTTCCAAGTAGCTGGAATTACAGGCATGCGCTACCACACCCGGCTGATTTTTTGATTTATTGTAGAGATGAGGTCTCGCCAAGTTGCCCAGGCGGGTCTCGAACGCTCGGGCTCAGGCAATCCACTCACCTCAGCCTCCCAAAGCGCAGGATTACAGGCTGAGCCACCGAGCATAATGTTTTCAAGTTTCAGCCATGTTGTAGCATCCATGAAGTATGTAACAGTACTTCATTTTTTTGTATGGTTGCAATAATGTTTTATTATGTAGATATATCACATTGTGTTTATCTATTTATTAGTTGATGGGCAATTGATGGACATTTAGTTTGTCTAAACTTTCTGGTTATTATGAGTAATGCTGTTATAAACATTTATGCACAAGTTTTGTGTGGATATATTTTCATTTCTCTTGGATACACACCTAGAAGTGGAATTGCTGAGTTATAGAGTAACTGTATGTTTATCATTTAAGGAACTGACAAAATGTTTTCTAAAGTGGGCATATCAGTTTCAATTCCTACCAGCAGTGTATGAGGATTCCAATTTCTGTACATTCTCACCAACACTTCTTATTATCTGCCTTTTTTATTATAGCCATCCTAGTTTGTGTGAAATAGTATCACATGGTGACTTGACTTGCATTTGCCTGGTGGCTAATGACATCTGTTTCATGTGATTGACAGTCATTTGTATATCTTCTTTGGAGAAAGTCTACTCAGATTCCTTAGACATTATTTTCTTTTTATTATTGAGTTATAAGAGCTCTTTATATAATCTGGGTCTAAGTCCCTTATCAGATATGATATTTTCAGATTTTTTTCCTATTCTTTTCACTTTCTGGAAGGCATCTTTCAAAGCACAAATGATATTAATTTTGATTAAGTTAGTGTTATCTTTTTTTTTTTTTCTTTAACACTTGTGCTTTGGGGGCTATATCTAGAAAACTATTTCCTAACCCAAGACCATGAAGACTTACTCCTATGTTTTTGTTCAAGAGTTTTATCATTTCAGATCTTACACCTAAGTCTGTGATCTATTTTGTGTTCATTTTTGTATATGGTGTGAGGTAAGGGTCCACCTTCATTCTTTTGCATGTGGATATCCAGCTGGTCCAGTACCGTTTATTAAAAAAGATTATTTTTTGCCCATGGAATATCTTGACATCCTTGTCAAAAATCAGTTGATCATAAATTTGAGGATTTGCATCTGGATTCTCAATTATATTACATTGACCTGTTTGTGTGTCTTCATGCAAGTAGCACACTGTCTTGAATACTGCAGGTTTGTAGTTTTGAAATCAGAAGGTACAAATCCTCCTACTGTGTTCTTTTTTTTTTTTTTTTTTTTTTTTGAGTTGGAGTCTCACTCTGTCGTCCAGACTGGAGTGCAGTGGCCGCTCCCGGCCACCGCAGCCTCGGCCTGCTGGGCTCCAGCGATCCTTCCGCCTCAGCCTTCCTAATAGCCGGAATTACAGGCATGCGCCACCACACCCAGCTGATTTTTTGATTTATTGTAAAGATGAGGTCTCACTGCCCAGGCGGGTCTCGAACCCGCGGGCTCAGGCAATTCACTCACCTCAGCCTCCCAAAGGCGCGGGATTACAGGCTGAGCCACCGAGCCCGGCCTGTGTTCTTTTGCAAGATTGCTTTGGCTATTCTGTGTCTCTTGCATTTCCATGTTAACTTTAAGATCAAATTGTCAATTTCTGCAAAAATGATAGCTATGATTTTGATAGGCATTAAGTTTAATCTGTAAGTCAATTTAGAGAGTGTCATCACCTTGACAATATTAACTCTTCTCATTCATAAACCATGAAATGTTTTTCCATTTATTTAGGTCTTTAATTTATTTCAACAATGTTTTGTAGTTTTCAGAGTACAATGTTTACACTTCTTCTGTTAAATGTATTGCCACATATTTTTATGCTAGTGTAAATGGAATTGTTTTCTAGTTATTGCTAGTATATAGAAATACAACTGATTTATTTTAATAAAAATTTTCAACATCAGTGAATTGAAAGTTAAACAGATGAAAT